TGTGAGTGAGTGTGTGTGTGAGTGTGAGTGTGAGTGTGTCTGTGTGTGTGTGTCTGTGTGTCTGTGTGTGAGAGGGTGTGTGTGTGGACAGACCCGATGGTGAGACCCAGCGTAGCCAAACCGAAGAAGGAACCGAAGTACTTGAGAAACTCTCTGGACCAGGCGACCTGCATCGCCATCTGACGCTCAAGCATCTGATTCTGCATCAGCAGCTGACGCTCCAACTGCAGAAACACAAACACTAACTCTCAGTGCTCAGAGCTTCCTGTATCAGACTGACATGTGTGTGTGTGTGTGTGTGTGTACTGGTATATAAGGTTTATGAGGACACAAATGTGTATAATGACATGAGTACGACAACATAAACAAGGTTTATGAGGACACTTCCTGTGTGTGTGTGAGATATATTTGTGAGGTTGTTTTGTTCCGCACCTCCACACACACACTCACTCTCACACACACACTCTCTCACACACACTCTCTCTCACACACACATTCTCTCACACACACACACTCTCTCTCACACACACACACACACACACACACACCCATTCACATACTTTCACACTGCCAGATATGTGTCCACTCTATATCTCTCTCACACACACACTGACATTCAGACAGTTGAAACAAACGAAAAGGTGCTTGTTCTTTCAACCCATAAAACACTCATCGTGAATCTTGTGTTCTGTTTGCGGTCAGTGGCTTTAATGAGGTCCACTCGTGTGACTGCACAGATAAGGAAAAGCCTCCAAATGCTACAATGTTCTTATACCCGCCTCTATTTACAGACCAGTCCCGACCAGCCATTCAGCACCTTGGAGAGCGGCATGCAGCACACATTCATTGAAGTGCAGATCGTAAGAGATTGTGCTAATTCAGCATTTATTGACCTTCATGTCAGCATAAATGCTCATAGACATGCACTATAGACTCACTCACCTGTTGTTCTTTCCCATGTCCGTGTGAAAGAATGTCTTTAATAGAATTGTTTGTGTAATCTTCCTGATTTATCCCAATTCCTCAGCATATCCAATACCTCAGAACAGCTTGATGATGTAACGGAAACTATGGACTCTCTCTTTTCTAGCATTTTAGATACGGTTTCTCCTTTACGCTTAAGGAAGATTAAGGAAAACAGTCTGACACCGTGGTATAATGAGCACACTCGCACCCTAAAGAGAGTAGCTTGGAAAATGGAGCGCAGCTGGAGGAAAACAAAACTAGAGGTATTTCATATTGCTTGGTGGGAAAGTACCCTATCCTACAGAAAAGCATTAAAAACTGCTAGATCTGATTACTTTTCGTCTCTTTTAGAAGAAAACAAACATAACCCCAGTCATCAGGAAACACGGTGTTAGCTTTCACTGTTATGCTGATGATACTCAGCTCTATATTTCTTCACGGCCCGGCGAAACATACCAATTTGAAAAACTAATGAAATGCATAGTCGATATATAAAACTGTATGACGAGTAACTTCTTACTGCTAAATTCTGAAAAAACAGAGGTGTTAATTATAGGACATAAAACCTCTGCATGTAATAACCTAGAACACTGTCTAACACTTGATGGCTGCTCTGTCA